TCATTGCAAAGTAATACTCCATTGTCTGCATCCATTCTTCAGTTGAGGGGCATTTGGGCTGTTTCCAGCTTCTGGCTATTACAAATAAAGCTGCTACAAACATGGTTGAGCAAATGTCCTTTTTGTGTACTTGAGCCTCTTTTGGATATATGCCTAGGAGTGGTATGGCTGGATCTTGAGGAAGCGCTATTCCTAGTTGTCTGAGAAAGCGCCAGATTGCTTTCCAGAGTGGTTGTACCAGTTTACATTCCCACCAGCAGTGGAGAAGGGTTCTCCTTTCTCCACAACCTCTCCAGTATGTGTTGTCACTTGAGTTTTTCATCTTGGCCATTCTGATGGGTATAAGGTGAAATCTCAGTGTTGTTTTGATTTGCATTTCCCTGATGGCTAATGACGTTGAGCATTTCTTTAAGTATTTCTCTGCCATTTGATATTCCTCTACAGAGAGTTCTCTGTTTAGCTCTGTTCCCCATTTTTTAATTGGATTACTTGGTTTGCTGCTTTTCAGCTCCTTAGTTCTTTATATATAGGGGATATTAGCCCTCTGTCAGATAAAGGGTTGGTGAAGATTCTTTCCCAATCTGTAGGCAATCATTTTGTTTTGATGACGGTGTCCTTTGCTTTACAGAAGCTTTTCAGTTTCATGAGGTCCCATTTATTGATTGTTGCTCTTAGAGCCTGTGCTGTTGGTGTTCTGTTCAGAAAGTTATCTCCTGTACCAATGAGTTCTAGGGTCTTCCCCACTTTTTCTTCTAACTGATTTAATGTGTCTGGTTTTATGTTGAGGTCTTTGATACACTTGGACCTTAGTTTTGTGCAGGGTGATATGTATTCATCTATTTTCATTTTTCTACATGTAGACATCCAGTTATACCAGCACCATTTGTTGAAGATGCTATCTTTTTTCCATTGTATGGTTTTGGCATCTTTGTCAAACATCAGGTGTCCTTAAGTGTGTGGGTTTATTTCTGGGTCTTATGTTCGGTTCCATTGATCCACCATTCTGTTTCTATGCCAGTACCATGCAGTTTTTATAACTGTTACTCTATAGTACAGCTTAAGATCAGGGATGGAGATACCTCCAGAAGATCTTTTATTGTAGAAAATTGTTTTAGCAATTCTGGGTTTCTTGTTATTCCATATGAAGTTGAGAATTTTTCTTTCCAGGTCTGTAAAGGATTGTGTTGGTAATTTGATGGGAATTGCATTGAATCTGTAGATTGCTTTTGGTAAGATGGCCATTTTTACTATGTTAATCCTGCCAAGCCATGAGCATGGGAGATCTTTCCATCTTCTGATACCTTCTTCTAATTCTTTCTTCAGAGACTTGAAATATTTTTCACCCAAGTCTTTGACTTGCTTGGTTAGGGTTACACCAAGGTACTTTATGTCATTTGTTCAACCCCCTCTTTTTAAGCCCCTTCTTTATACTCAAATACAATCCAGGGAGAGTACCCACTACGCACTGAGACATATTACAAGGCTCTGGACACACAGTGAAACCAGCCTCTGCTCTCAGAACATACTGTATAATTGGAAAGCAGAAAATTACTTCAAAGCTTTTTATAAGGATGATAAATAGAAGGACATCAGCCATAAGAAAAAAAAAAAAGAGTGGGAGAGAGTGAGAGAGCTAAAATTCATGGAACTCTTACTGCATGCTGGCCACGTTACTTTTTCCTAATTACCTTGAGCTCTGATTTGAACCCAGACAACTCTCCACATCTGCTGTGGTATTTAAGTTAGACTAAGAGATCCATGTAGACGGGTGTGTTCGTGTGGCATTCTATGATCCTGACTTGTTGACAATCGCTTCTTACAACATGCTGGTGCAGTGTCAAAAATTCAGTTTAACTGATGCAGAGAGCCATGTAAAGATATCTCAGTGAAGTGGTTCACTGCACAAGTAAGATGCAGAAAGTACATAGTGCGGGATAGGCATGGTGTCTGTGATGAGGACAACAGATGATATCACATGGAAAGGCTGCCCCATCACAACTAAGAGAGACTTATGAGGAGACTTTAAAGGCACTGTCATGGCCCATTGCCTTTTATTTAGGCAGTTATCTCTCTCAAACCATTTTCCTTAATCTGTAGGATGGTTACCCATTGTGTCAATTCAAATGGGCCATGGTTTGCCCAAATATTTGGTTAGCTATTATTCTGAGTGTGGTTGTGAGACAGCTCTAGATTAGCACAGCACTTGAATCAGTAGGATATTGTCCCCAGTTCACATGGCCTCAGCCAACCCGAATATATTGGAATATTGGATGCCTGAACAGGACAAAAAGCAAGTGAAGGGAGAATTTGCTGTCAGCTTACCCCTGAGCTGGGACATTGAACTGGAACATACAGCACCGATTCTCTTGTTCTCAGGCTTTCAGAATCAGACAATGCTGCTTAGCTCTCCTGGGTCTCTAGTTCACAGATGGAAGATTGAGAGTTGGCTTCTCTTCCCCTATAATTGTGTGAGCAAATTTCTTATATCCGTTTTCTCTCCCGCTCTGTGCCTCTCCATATACATGTAAGTACATGTCTTCTTGATGGCTGTTTCTCTGGAGAACCCTGGCTGGTCCTACCTTGTTCTCATCACTGTCTCTCTGTGTCCCTTCAGCATGTATATGTCCTTGGATAGCACTTCCTGGATGCAAGGGTATGGCTTTGTCTCCTAGTAACATGGCAAATATTCACAGAGAGAAATTAGACAACTCAATATCCTTCTCCTTTGCTCCACTGAATGCTGCTCCAAAATATGTCTAATTGGCAAAATAGGCTAGGATAGGCAAAATAGGGTTGCCTACTGACAGCAGCAAGAAATAGGCTCAGTTTTAGAGGGATGTATGTCATCTCAGGAAGCATGACAGAGAGCTTAGTGAACTACTAGGAAACCACTGTCTTTCAAAGTGCTTGGAGGACTTCTTGATTCCATAATTTTTACTTTAGCGTATACTCAGTGATATTTTTCACATATGGCCTAAGCATCTCCTCTGTGTGTGAAATATCATTATAGTCAGATTTGGAAGAAGTATTAAGTATGGAGAATGAAGAAAAGACACAGTGAAGGTGATAAAATCAATGTCATCTTAGACCCTGTTCATGCTAAGTGTCATAAAGGGTTGAAAAAGCAGTGTCAGGTATAAAGACTGTGTGTGAGCCATGCCCAGTGGAACACATTTGTAATCCCCGCACTCAGGGAAGCAGACATAGGTAGATTTCTGTAAGTTTGAGGCAAGCCTCGTCCACAGAGGGAGTCCAGGAAAGCCAAGGCTACACGGAAAAACCCTATCTCAAAAAAAAGTGGTGTGTGTGTGTGTGTGTGTGTGTGTGTGTGTGTGTGTGCACTTGAACTATCTTAGGTAAATTTCTCAGGTGAGAATTCTCTGAAGCAAAATGTGAAATGCAAAGTATGAAGCCACCTAAAAAATGGTATTGCCAGCACTGAAGCAACCAGTGAAAATGTTCTGGGGTGAGCATGGGCTTTGTGCACTTAAAGGTCTAATAAGGCCAACATGATAGAAACATAATGAACAATAGGGAGACTATTAGAAGACCTCATTAAAAATTATTGAGGGCCAGATCACGTGAGGGTTTATAGAACATAATAGCTTGAGTTTCTTTCCTAGTTTGACATAAAGACTGGGGTATAACTAAGGGGTAGAACATGTGCCTAGAATGTGTGAGTTCCCAAGATTCAATCCCTAGTCTCTCTCCCTCTCTCCCTCTCCCTCTTCCTCTCTCCCTCTCTCTCTCCTGCTCTCTCTCTCCCCCCCCCTCTCTCTCTCTCTCTCTCACACACACACACACACACATGCACGCACCACAAAATGTGGCAAAAATTTGTCAGAAGAGAAAATTATATAAGGACCTAATTTATGTTTGTACAAGATCATTTATCAAACATGTAAGAGGAAACAGTAATGACTACAAGAGAGGAGTTCAAAGTGACCACACAGACCAAGTGTAGTTCAGTCTACAATTAGTGCCATGTTGTAACATAACAGCATGAGAAATGTTTCGAAAGTAGAGCTGTGGGGCTCGCTGATGATCTACATAGTGCGATGGAGGACAAAGAAATTGACTTCCAGAGACGGGATGCACCAAGGATCTAAGAGGCCTGTACGTCAACATCACGAACTGGAAGGGAGGTTTTCTAAACATTTTGAGAGAAGACTTGGCAAATTTGGACTTACAATTATATAATCTTGTTAGAGGACCCCTAAGATTTCAGGTTTTGTAAAACCTGGATCCCCATTAATTCTGTATTTTTCTCCCTGAGAAACCAAATAAAAAGCGTAACATCTACGCTGATGATTGTGTCACACCCAGCTTCTATATCTGTCTGTACTAGATAAATACAGATACATATACTTCTCAAGACCACCTCGTGGGACACAATTATAGAAGAAGCTTTTTTTTTCTGTTGTGGGTTCTTTTTATTGTTGATGATCTCATTCTATTGTGTTTTTTACTCATGAGATTTCTTTTTAAATCCCTTTAAATGATATGAAATGTGTTGATTCCTTGGAGATGCCATGCAGCATCAATTCAAAGACAGAATGTATGGTCCTTGCTTACAGAAGAGACTTCCCCCAATGCCTGGCCAGGTCCTGATTCCAGGCAGGGTTGAAGGTGAATGATGGGATGATGGCTGGCTTCCACTCTTTTCCTCATTTGTATTCTTTTGTAGTCAGTTTCTATTTCTGAAGACTTGTATACAGGAGCTGAGAGGAAGAAAATTGATTGCTCCTTTCATAACCTGGCTTTCCAGAGCCTGACAATTTTTCAAACTGGTTTTCCTTCTGTTTGGGCATATTAACTGATTGCTCAGAAACCTTCCATCATAAAGGTGATTACCCTGAAGTAACCTTAAATTAGGAAGGGTACATGTCTTGATTCTACCCCGTCATCAAGAGCCACAGAAGTTGGCTGTATCTCCAATGTCTCCTCTTCAAGGAAGCTCCTGTGGCCATCCAGGGGACCTTCTGGATGTAATCCACCCTTCCTGCTGTGCACAGTGGACATCGGAAGAAGGAGAACAACAGGCATACTTGTGCAGCATGTGGGCGAAGGCAGTGCCCTTCCACTGATCCATCAGCTACACTTCTCTCTGCTTTATCTAAAGATAGGACACAAGCAGTCACTGTGAGTCTAAATTACTAGCAACTCATAATGACCCCAGCAAACTCTCAACAATCCCCTGTGAGCCCGCTCCTTTGGCTTCTCAAAGCACGATAGCAAAATATATAGTAGACAGCTTTTAAGCAATACATTTATTGGCCACAGTTTTGGAGTCTATGAAGTCCACAGCAAATTCTGTGTGTGTTGAGGGCCTGCATTCTTATCACACTCCTGTCTCACATGGAGGCCTTCTTTAAAAGGATATCAGTTCTACCTACTGTAAGGGTAGAACTTAACCCCCATCACTTAACTACACCCAAAGCTCCATCTCCTAATAACCATCACCGTGGGGGTTACAACTTTAACATATAAATTTGTAGGTCACATTGAATTTGTTACAGCACTTCTCTTTTCATTTAGATAAAGAGAAAAGCTCCTCCCTTTTCCCTTTGAAGGCTTGCAGTGTTCCCCACACATAATGGGGGAAATGCCCTCTTCGCCCTAAAGCTCCTTTCTCTCCGACTATAAGTCAGATAGTTCTTGGGCACTTATAATTTTCAAATTCAAGCCAATGTTTTCTATTACAAATTAGTCATTGGAGCCAGACTCGGTAGCGCACACCTGTAATCTCAGCAGTCAGGGAGGCAGAGGCAGATGGATCTCTGTGAGTTTGAGGTCAGCCTACTATACAAAGAGAATCCAGGACATCCAAGGCTACACAGAGAAACTCTGTCTTAAAACAACAACAACAACAACAACAACAACAAAAAAAACAATTAACCATCAGATGCTTTTTCTTCAAAATCCTAGACCAGAGTCTCATTCTAACAGAAGCTTCTTCCTGCGGAGATGGAAACTAATATAGAGACCCATAACTGGACAATGTGAAGAAAATGGAAGACCTTGGAACACTCAGTCCTAAATGGTATGTCTTGTTCAACTCTCTTCCCTCAGGACAGCAATGCAGAAGATGAAACAGACAGACTCAGGGCTGATATTGATTTTTTAAAATCAAATCATTCATCCTATCTTACTTATACTCAGTGCCTTTTGATATTCATGATATTAATAAATTTCTGAAACTGGCAATTCTTCAAATTCAAAGTCAGATGAGATTATGCCTGTAAGAATGAATAGAAACACCCCTCTATTTTGTTTTTTAGTTGTTCAGTGAAAACACACTGAGAAACAAGTGTCTTTTTTGATCACCTGATCACCTGAGTTACTTCATTTCTCACTAATTACATCAGAAGTTGGGAGAATGGGTAAAAGAGAATGCATGTTATTGAGTCCTTGCAAATAATAAGCTGTCTAACACAGAAGTTGGTCAAGCCCAGAGACGCTTTCCAGGGCACCATATCAGATAAAACAGAACATTTTCAGTAGAGCCCTTATGTCTTCAGCCTGTGTCTGTTTATTTTCAAAGATCATTTGTGAGCTGAGCCAACCTTGGAAAATAAACTTTGGTCTAAAGAAGGCTATAGTGACCCTGTAACACGAAAAAGAAAAAAGATGGCAAAACTTCATCAAACGTGGTCCTAGAAGAATACACATGGCTTCTGTGTTTCTTTCTATCCTTGTAAAAAAAAAAAAAAAAAAAGATCAGGAGGAATGTCAGAAAGACCACTGGGGACACAGTAAAAAGTATATAACAGTGGGTTAGTTGTGGTGACAAAGGTGGGAATTAATTCCGTTAGCTATCCTGAAGTGTCTGTTTGTCTGCAATACTAAACAGAGGGACTCACATGGTGGAAGAATGAAGAGAAGCACTCCTCCACAGCTGTAGCCTTACAGGCACCAATGTGTAAGGACGCTCAGGAAATGATTTTCAGAATGTAGATTCTAGAGAAGGATAGAGTGGTTAGTGAAATGGAGCTTTTGTTACTGTGGTTTGTTTATGTTCTTATTTTAGTCAATTGCATTTACATTTGGAATTCATATTTGATTTAGACAAGGAACTATGGAGAGTCTGTGATTCAAAAAGTATGTTTATTTGCATGTTATGACATATATATGTGTGTATATATGTACATATTTTATTTCAATATGGTTATGGTAGATATTTGATTCATAAATGAAAGTGCTTTTCAAAAATGAGAATGCATGTTATCAATTATCTTTGAGTTAGTAACTCTCAAACTTCATTGTGCATGGGATCTTCCTGGGCAATGCACTTTAAAATGCATAGCTCTGACCTCAGAGCTTCTGCCTCCGTTGACATTAGATGGAGACCAATGATCATGCTAAGTACATAGTAGTGTAGATTCACTTGCCTGGTCCTCAAACCACACTGCCACAACCCACAAGGCTGGGCCAGGAACCCTGGCTAGGATCTGTGAGAGAATGAAAAAAGACACATGTACAGTAAACCTTAGATCTAACACTGCTGCAGCAACCTGGAACACGTTCGTTAGGTGCAGAACAAGAGAAGGCTGCTAGCTCATCTTAGTGTCTGTAGATGAGCAGCCGCAGGCTCTAAACAGCCTGGAGAAGGAATGTTGGTGCTAGTTTTTAACTGTTTTATTTATATTTCTTAACGACCCTTTCTCCCTTCTCCATCCCAATCCCTTCCAACACCAGGTAGGAGAGAAAGAAGGTTAGCAGAGAGAAGGGGCAAAGTTTTCCTTAGCTACTTCCTACTGCTTAGGGTCTTTGGGGTCCTTGTGGCAATTCCAATCCTTGTTTCACAAAATCTCCTGACTTCTTCTCTTCAAACTGCATCAACAGCAACCAGGAGCAGCAGGGAGAAGCACCAGCAGCCTTCTTCTCTCTTGGAGCTCCTCAACATGCTTTGGGCTCTGGCATATATTTCATCTCCAGAGTCCTCAGATTTAAACTATCTGCAGCTGGCAAAGAGCCCCTCTCAGAGTTCACATGAGGCAAATAGTTTTGCTGCTGTGGACAATCTGAATAGGTCCCATATCATACACCTGCGATTAAAACAAAACCATGCTTACATCCACAACAAAGGAAGCTACAGCTACTAGTCTTTTCATACATTGAATACACACAATAGTTCCTAAACACTCATACTCAGGCTCCAGAGGAAAATTTTGCTGTTCTGTTTGAGCCTGATCCATATGGGGTTTTTTTGTTTGTTTGTTCTTTTGGGTTTTTTCCCTTTTTTTTTTTTTTTTTTTTTTTTTTTTGCCAATATCCCATAGGTAATTGCTCTTGGAGTCCTCAACAGGCTGTGCTCAAGTCAAAATACGCATTCACTGCGGAGTTCAGCTTCACTCACTTGGGCTTCCTCTGTCCCCTACACAACACCGAGAAAAAAAGGCTTCCCACCCTTTTCCTCGGCAGAAAGTATAAAAATAAGCTTAGTTTTTACAGAAAAATCATCTTGACACATTTGCCCTGGTATAGGAGTGACCTGGGTGTTATTTTCCCTCGGTGGAGTCACAGTCATGAGGATGACAACGTCATGACCCCACCCTACATCCCCCTCCCACCCCCGCCGCCCAGCCCCAGGATCTTGTTGTTTTTATGCTCTACTGAAAACCTTTTCTCATCTCAGCAAACTCATCTACCTTTCATCCTGTTTCAGAATCAGACTTCTGCTTCTGGAACTATAGATAGTGAGGAGACGTGTATAGATTTTGTTTTATCTCCAATGTCATAGTTCCTACTGAAGCATCCGGAAGATCCAGGCCATTGTCCAGACCTTCTTGTTACCTTCTTATTAACAAAAGTCATTTTTAAAATATCAGACTCCCCAAACCATAATTAATATAGTCAATTGAGAGGGATTGGACTCTTCGGGAAGTCTAGCCTGAAATAAGGCAGAGAACAAAGGCAAGAGTCTGGGGACACAGTTTCACAAGGCAGTTATACTCTCTTGAATCAGAATATGCTTTGGCTGGAGGGAAAAGGCAAAGTTCTGATGTATTTGTTAAAGTAAATTGGATCACACTAGCCCTTTGGGTTAAAGAAATTCTGACTGCAGATGTCTACAACTTTCAATGTGAGATTCCCATGACTACAGATGTGGGGGCAGCTGGTACAGCCATCTTTGTGGTCACCTAGTGTTAAGCTGCTTAACACTTGTCGGTCACCACGACAAAATACCTTCGATAATTTAAACAGAAGAAAGGTTGGTATTGGCTCCTGGTTTCACAAATTCCAATCAATACGTGCTTGCCTCCCTCACTTTGCTTCTGTGGAAGCATATCTTGGTGAGATCACATAGCAAAGGGAACTACTCATTTCATGGAAGAAAGGAAGAAGAGGGCAAGACAAAGACACCAGGAACCCAGCATCCTCTTTGGGGACACACTCCCAATGACCTACCTTCCATTCATACAGACGTATCTGTTCAAGGTTCTACCGCAGCTGGGGACTAAGCCTTCAACGTGTGGACCCTCAGGGGTAATCAATATTCAAACTATACCGCTATCACAGCAACAAACACAGAGCACTGAACACATCTTATGTGAAAGCTGCAGTACGTCACAGCGTGTCCCCCAGAATGTCCCTTTGTCCACATATCTGCACTTGCAAATACTCATTGCAATGAGTCATTGGTCTAGGGCCCGCTCTCCCAAGTGCTGCAGCTGGTAAGGCACAGGGATAGCTCTCCTCTGCACCCATATCACCCCACTGCAAATGAATGGGTGGGGCCAGCTCTTCCGTACTAAGGCCCTAGAACCTTAGCTCCACCCCTTCTTTCTGCCCTGCCCAGGTGTAGGCCTTTCATTTAGCCAATCAGGAAATAATTTCTTAGGCAAGGTTACAAACTTCATTTGGGGGTACATGAGTGTCAGCAGGCAGACCTCGGGAAAAGCATAGTTAACCATCAAACGCAAAGCACCAAACCATGCTGTTCTATACGGCTGGACATGCAGGAGTGGATTCCTGAAAGCTGGAAAGTGCTAATAAAAAATGAGAGGATGCTGGGCATGGTGACACACTAATCTCAGCACTGGGAGGCAGAGGCATGTGGATCTCTGTGGGTTCAAGGACAACATAGTCTGCATATCAAGTTCCATAAAACATAAGAAAGGAGAAGAATCTACTAGGAAGATGGCTCTGTCACTAACCTGCTTGCTGTGCAAACATGAGAACCTAGGTTCAATTCCCCAGTACCCACCTAAAAAGCCAGATGTGGCAGCACACACCTGTTACCCTAACACTGGGGAGGCAGAGACAGAAGGATCCCTGAAAACTTCTACACACTCCATCTAAGCAAATTACAGAGCTCTAGAGGTAGTGAGAAGCCCTGTCTCAATAAGCTAAGAAAGAAGAGTCAAGGAATACACCCACTATCAACAAACACACTCTATTACATATACATGTACACACATACACACACACGAGAGAGAGAGAGAGAGAGAGAGAGAGAGAGAGAGAGAGAGAATAGGAATTAGGAAAAGGAAGAATTCACACATTTGGAGCAAACTTCAGGATTTGAGATTGAAGTTCCTGGAGATGAAAAGAGGTTCTGAACACACCGTTCCCAACAACAGCTAGCTTCAGAGTGAAAATAGAAGCTCATACATCACGTAAAGAAGTCTAAAAATAGAACTAGCCAGGCATGTGGGGTGACGTCACTTACAGAAGCCTATTCTAGTGAGAACACAATCACTACTTTCACTAAGTTCTTTAAACAAATGTGTTTCACCTTGATGTTGATGAGTAGGATATTTAGTGAATAGAATGTTTGTGGGAAGCCGGCCTCCAGTCTGAGAGTGAATGGGTCAACTGCTATTGAATGAGGACTGTCTGCTGGTTGATACATACTTGACTTGTGAAATAAAGACAGCCGACTCATAAGTTACTTTTATCCTTTTTTTCAAAACCGTTTTTTCTTGTTTGCCTTCATGTTAACCAAAGCACTGTGTTGCTATAATCGTGATTACTCATATAATTGGGCTCTGTTGATACTGACCATCCAGTAGTTTACAAAGTTGAGACTGATGGCATTCCCAGCAGAATCTGTGGGTCTTTGCTTGACTCTTACTGATCGGACTTTGGTCACATTTACCCTGCACCTATCTCTGTGGAGGGGAATAGAGTTCTCTGATTGGTCAGTTCAGTCACATGTCACAGGCATGGAGTTGAGGAAATTTCCAGCATTAGCTCTCCCCTCTCCAGGATTTCCTCACCTCATCCGTGTATCACATGGATTCAAGAGGTAGAAAAGTGCAGCTGGAGAGTAAGGCATGTGAATGGTTTGAATACAGGCCAAATAGTGAAACAAAGCTAGAACTGTCATTTCTCCTGGTTTATCCTCAGAGTGCTGTAATGTGCTAAGCACGCCTCTGGGGGAAAACTATCAATAGTATCACTTAGCTGTCAACACCATGTACAGAACTAACAGGGCAGGAAGAATGAGCCTACTGGTACAATCGTAGCAAGCTTTTACGGGGGTAACTAACCACTTTCTAATTGAATTTGATACCCACTCTACAAGAGGGAATTAATATCCCCTGCTATAGACCTGGTCAAAAGCCCCATGGCTCGAGAGGTAATAGACCCTCATGGGGAAGATCCTACGGTTGCTTCCTTGAGTGGACATGATGTTCCTGTCAAATTTCCTTCTAAATAACCATGTTTGTGCCCATTGATAGTCCCTCTGGCAGCTCTGGTCAAAGAGTTCTTTTCACACTGGTCATCAATGACTGCAGAGGCTTATAGCTAGTTAAAGTGCTGAAAGTAAATGGCTAGTCATATTTGGGATGTTTGTATCAACTCCTCCGAGGCTCAGGGACCATCTTGAAAGAAGGGGCTGAGAGAACGAAAGAGCCACAGGAAAAGGAAGAAAGGTATGGAACCCTGGATTTCAGACATTTCAACATGGCTGTTGCATTCTTGAGCTTGTAGCAGCTATGACTATCGGCACAAAAGTTCCACAAGTTGAACACATCACCACCCTGTGATGGACAGGTGCTCACTGCTCCCTGGGGATTTATAGTTAATGTCTGATGGAGTTACAGAGACACTTCTTAGTGGTGTAAGATACCCATGTTCCTGAAGACAACCTAAAGGAACTAATGTCAACATAGGAGGACAAGGAAGATGAAGGAGGCTCCTTGTGAAGAGGCAGGAGATTAGAGGTAATAGGAAGGGGACAAAAGAGGGTAAGAGGCTAATGAATGTCACCCATAAACACATACATATATGTATGTGTGTATACATACATATACATATATAAAAATGTCATAAACATATTAACTAATATGTTAACAAAAACACTTGAAGAAGAACAATAGGGTAGGTGACTTTCATCTGGAATTCCAGCTCTTATCAGAAGGAAGCAGAAGGATGAGGAGTTCAAGGCCATTCTTGGCTACATCAAATTATCTGGGCTCATGAAAGTACATTTAAAAAAAAAGTTACAATTAAAAACACAAAACATTGCTATTGCTCTCCTTTTTTCCCATCTAATCTATATTTAGTTGAAACAAAAAAAAAAAGAGAAAAGCTCTGGAATGAGATATCTATGACTTTTTTTTTTATAAATAATACTTTTTTAGTAATGTTTTGAAGTGGAACATATGTATTTATTATACATCTTGCTTTCATATGAAACTAAAAATACTTAGAGATGTTAGCATATATATAGCAAAAATATGTGAGGATAAGAAAAAGCACTTTTAAAAACCTTGCCAAATTCTGTGCGCAGCTATCTATGAGAAGACAGAGTGTGGATTACAGCACAACGGTCCTCCAGGAGCCATGAAAACTCACCGTCTATGTTTCATGTCTCAAGATGCGGCCAGGGACACAAAGTGTTCATTCTGCTATTATTTTCTTTTGCGTGTGTTGCAAATGTTATCTTGTGTATTTAGCTTCTAATTAAAAGATATCTGAAAGCACCAACATGGTTTAATGTGAGAATTTTCCAACCAGGAGTTACAGACTTTAAAAGGAATGTGGTTTGACTAGAATACTTCATTATTCATAGGAGCGTATTGAGAGGCACAGTGTGTTGCCTTTTCTTCACTTTTTCATTCTATTTTATTGTTAAGGCCACCCTGATTTGATTAGTAAGGTGGAACTGAGTTAGACACAAGGTCATCCTCCCCTCCTGTCAATCAGCCTTATCATCATCGATTGCTGTAGGACTGTTAATGAACTTTCATGACAGGGCCACAGTAAGTCACGCAGCCTCCAGAGCTGTGGAGCTATGCAGTAGCTTTGGATTAAATGGAAGAAACAACAAAAAAACAAAAACCTCAGAGTACATGCAAAGACACACTCTAGGATATGCGGGAGTCCACAGTGGATGAAATGACATGTGCTAGATTTATGGATTGAATGTTCATGCTGTAAAACTTGATATTGAACCCTGGCACCAGTGAGATGGGACTAGGAGATTCATCTTTTGAAGATAATTAGGATCAGATGAGGACACAAGCATGAGACCCTTATGATGAGGTTAGGTTTGTTTGATTATTGGTTGGTTGGTTTTTACAAGAACAGAAACCAGAGTCTGTAAGCCAAAAAGATGGCCATGGTCAAGAGGTGATCCCATGTTGGACCTTAATCTTGGAAGTTCCAGCTTCCAGAACTCAAAGAAAATAACTATCTGTTGTTTAGACTATTCCAGCTGTGGTATATGCTTATAACAGTCTAAGCTACTAATACAATGATTAATGATTAATTGAATGCTAATTATATTAATACAGTGACTAATTCTATATAAATGTGACTAATGATGGTGAATAATTAACATTACAGCAAAAGACCTTAGAGCCTTAGACATCTATAAATCTCTTTCTTAACCTAGAACCCCTGCACAGATGTAGCCCATGGCAGTTCAGTTTCCAAGTGGGTTACATAGTAATGGGAAGAGGGATTGCCTCTGACATAATCTGATTGGCCTGCTCTTTGATCACCTCCCCCTGAGGGGGAAGCAGCCTTACCAGGCCACAGAAGATGACAATGCAGCCACTTCTGATGAGAACTGATAGTCTAAGATCAGAAAGAAGGAGAGGAAGACCTCCCCTATCAGTGGACTTGGGGAGGGGCATGCATGCAGAAAGGGGAGGAAGGGTGGGATTGAGAGGGGAGGAAAGAGGGGCTTATGGGGGATACAAAATGAATAAAGTATAATTAATAATAATAAAATATTAAAAAATAATAAATAAATATTAAGTTCTTAAAAAATGACGCTGACTTATTAATACATCTGAGGTAGAAGATCCATTTTATATAGAGTATTAGAGGAGGTTTTGGGCACAGTGTGACAGCATGGAACAAGACAATTTTGCAAACCCTGCCCTTCTCCACACATGGTTTTCCAGTTAAGTTTATTTCAGTTTTTTTTTTTTTTCTGCCCTGAGTGCTTTCACCTGTAGAAGTCAAATAATGATTATTTCTTGGCTAGCTGATGGAAGGGCTGGTGGCTATCTAAGTAGCGCAGCTAGCACAGTGCCGGGCACCAAGCCACTATGAAAGACATCAGCACACAGTCCATCTCACATCCCATTGTCTACAAGTCTTCAGTATAAAATAATTGCTCAAAATATGTATGCAGAATTCATAAACCAATAAATGAGTAAATGCAGGGGCTTCGGGAATCTCTGGAGAATTGTCTGCTAGAATAAGTTTGTCACTGTCCTTTAGCCAAGATCACCCAAACCGCATTGAAGCTGAGCAAGTTTGGCTTATTATCCCCAGAGCCAAGACAAATGGTCTCTATGACATACTACAATGGAACCAGGTGGGAGCCAGTCTCAATGGGAGTGCTATAGAGGACTTCCTGGATTTGAGTTCATATGGGGAGAGTTTGAAAGAGGATCTGTGGAAGCAGGGATAAACGTCTGGATCAGATATTCTCGGGAAGCGAGGATAAATCTCCGATTATCTTAATGAATCTTAAGCACACAGAGGGAAGACCACACTCAAGCCATGACTGTAATTGCAACAGCAGCAGCAACACTGGCATCAGACAGAAGAGGTGAAAATAAATTCTAGCAGGTGTAGAAAAGCTGTTTTGTCCATACGGAAGTGCCAGTGTGGTATGGGGCAAACACCAAGACAGACTGAGAAGGCAAGGGCTTTATTGGAAGGCTGTGGAAAGGACTGCAAGTCCATGAAAGAAGAAGAGGAGGGAGCCATGAAAGCCTTTAAGCCCAGACCCTGAGGAGGAGGAGGAAGGTAGAGGAGCAGAATGGATACGGGAGAGCCTCACACAGTGTGGTGAAGAGCTGACATGACTAACCCAGAGGGTCATTTGGAACCTCTGGGCAAACGTGGCTACCCCAGACGCAACGCATTCTGCCTACTAGAACGACATTGGCATCGATGTGAATGATTTGGTGACTCTCGGGGCTTCTGTAGCTAGAGGCCTCCAGCAAAGCACACTCCTTCCTGAAAGGAAATCCAAGTAGCTCATGCCATGTGTGTCCGTTTGAATGAGAAATGTCCCAACAAAGTGAGAAATGTCCCAACTGTCTTGAGTATTTGAACTCTTGGTTCCCAGCGGGTGGCGCTGTTAGTGGAGAATTAGGTGGTGCGGTCATGCTGCAGAAATACATTACCAGGAGCAAGCTTTGAGATTAAGAGCTTCAGGTCACTCCCGGGTCACTCTCTGGGCTTCCTGCTCGGCAGTGAAGAATGGGAGCCCTCGGCCTCCTGCTCCGGCTGCCCAGGCTTCTGCATGACATCACTGCAATTCTAACCTCCTGGAGCCATAAGCCACAATAAACTCCCTTCCCTAAGTTGCCTTGGTCATGGTGTTTCATCAGAGTGACAGAAAAGTAACTGATAGACTGATGATACACTGTGGCTGTATCAGGACCGGTGTTCGCTTAGAAATGCATCTTCCCGCATAATTAGCCCTTTGTTCACGCCCGTCAAGTAGTACTTAGATGATTCTAGGGGTAGGGTTAAACTCCTCCGTTGCTGAGATAAAATATCTGAAGCTGCATGTGTTATAATAATAATTTTTTAAAATAAGGGTATATGTAGCTCACAGCTCAAAAGTCCAAGATTGGGTGGCCTCATCCGCTCAGTCCCTGGTGAGGACCTGGTCTGCAGCATACAGCGGCGGAGAACAAACGGGCCACACAGAAAACTAGGGGATGCGGGATGCCATCGCTTTCTAACAACCCACTCTAGTGAGAATTAACTTCCTTGGAGACCACGTCTTAACCCTTCCGTAGCGCAGAGGAAGCTTCTAACAGCGACCCTCGTGGACACTCTCAGATCCTATCAAAACCGCAGAAAGGAAACACTCCGACACCAGAGAAGAACTGTTTAAGAAAGCTGACTCAAAGTACAGTCGGGGAAAGGCTTACCTACTGAAGTGAACAGATAGACCGGAGCAGCAGTGTATCTCCTAGCTGGCTTTCTGAGTGTATAAATAGGAGAACCAGCCTACTAACAAGAGCTCAACTGTTTGCAGTCTAAATAACGGTGGCACTAAGAGCAGTCCAATCTTGCTATTTACTCTTTTTTGAAAGCATCGGCCTGCAAAAGACCCACCTCCTCTGTGTAACCAAATAGAAACTCTCTCTATTCCTAAAATACGCAATGCCCAGTACCTGTTTGGGGGCACAGTTAATCATTTCTCAGCTTAATAACCCATGAGATCTCTCTAGAAACCATCTGCTCAGTATCACTCAAACGTAGCACTTATACTCTGCCAGGCATTTTTTTTAATGGCTTTGGAGTTTCAGCTCATTAATGTTAATTCAAGTGAAACAGATCATAGACACATAATGAGATCTTGAAGGCTTCTCTTTAGCTGAAATTTCCTGCCTCACAAAAACTTCATATTTTTTTTCAAATTAGGATAAAATTATGTACTCTTAAGTGGTATGGTGATGTATGGCTGTTTTTGTTAGTTTTTGACCAACTTGACATAAATGAGGGTCATCTGGGAAAATAGGGACCTCATTTGAGAAAATGCCTCCATCATACTACCCTGTAGGCAAATCTGGAGTCATTTTCTTGATTAATGATTGAAGTAGGAGGACCCAGCCTACTTTGGGCAGAGCTACAGCTGGGCTGGTGGTTCTAGGCTGTACAAAATAGCAGGCTGAACAAGCCAGTAGGCAGCACTCTTCCTTGCCTTCTGCTTCAGTTCCTGCCTCAAGGTTTCTGCCTTGAGTACCTGCCCTGACTTCTCCCAGTGATGAGTTATACCTGGAAATAGGAGATGAAATAAACTCTTTTCCTCCCCAAGCTGCTTTTGGTCATGGTGTTTTGTCATAACAATAGAAACTCGATTAAGACAATTGCCTATCTGAGTATCTGACTCCATTTCAGGATAACGGTCACAGGTCCTAAATATTTTTAAAGCAAAAATTTATAAGATATACTCTAAGAAGATGGGAAAATATTAGACTTTTATAAACTAAATGATTCACTGTACACTCTTTAGATCTGGCTTCTTTTTAATTCAATTGAAACAAATAATAGGCATTACCATAAAATATTCTATATAAATATATTAAAATTTTTAAATACCAAAGTTGCTAAAATTTCATAGCTTGCACAAACTTGATATTTTTTTAGATTAGGATAAAATTCTGTACTCTTAAGAAAAACAATGTTGTAATGTTCTACTATTAGACTTTTGTCAGCTTGACACAAGCTAGAGGTATCTGGGAAGAAGGACCTCAGCTGAAAAGATACTTTCTATTAAACAACTTGTGAACATAGCTTTTCCCTACATTTTATTTCTTCAAAGCTTTTAAAAAGATATTTAAATTATTAACATATGCTATTATATCATATACCATCATGTTACAGAGAAATGCAAAATGTAAATAAGACATATGCAGAAAATACATCATAAATTGTATTACCTTTGTTATTTGTAAACTACATATAGGTGATGCATCTGGGTTGTAGCAAATAAAATGTGTCGGGCTATGTATCACTTATTATTTGCCCTGTAATTATTACTATGCTATTATTTAACCCACTATCACAAATACTAAGACACAGACACCTGTTAGATTTTATAATTGCCTATTTCTACCTAAAGTATCCCAATAACTTCATCATCCACCTCCCAGCCCCCATCCAATGCCATCCACCTTAATCATCCTTATTTGGGCTGCATTCCATCCGTAATCTCACAAAAACTTGCTTTTATTTGGTGTTTTGTTTTGTTTTGTTTTGTTTTGTTTTGTTTTGTCTTTTTCCATCTTCGCCATCCTTGGAGTCTTTACTCCCAGCCCATGAGGATTTTTTCCCACACTAACCCATCCTGGCATCCTTCTTCTTCCTCTCTTCCATCCCACCTGTTTGTTTCCCATTATTCTTCTGTTTCCAAAGCCCAGGAACCTTAACCACGCCTACCTCATTCTGCCCTGCCCAGGTTTTATTTTACTTATATCAACCAATTAGGTATAATGTCTTAGGCAGGATTACACAACAAGGACAGGTTTATCCAGGCAGTAGCCGGATCTTGAGGGCTAGTAACTGGCCTCAAGATACAAGCATCAGACCAACCCCTAACACATCTGTGGCTTAGAGAACATGGAAATGCTGATTATAACTCAGGGTACAAGTTATGGAGTCTTGCAGACAAGGAATTAAACTCCAGATACCTTATGCTTTTGCTGTATTGCTATGAAAAGCTGAGTCAATCGTCTAACTTTCTGTGTGTGTTTCCCGGTCTGTCTAGCAGAAAAAAACACCTTTGTATGAGTGAGATGCTAAGCAGAATGCCTGATCTATGATAGCTACTTTTTCTACATCTCTTTTTTTTCTCCCTTCTTGGCTTTTCTCCTAAGGATCTATCCTACACAAAGGCTTTTTCTCCCGCAGCATAGCTCAAAAGGTTGCCTCATCTTCAACATGCCACTCTTACCTACAGAAAATCTTCACTTGGTATCAGAGGAAGCTGTAGGTAGATGCCTCCTCTTTCACATCTTCCTCGGTCATTCACTAAAATATAAGGCCCCAAAATCAGCTTTCCATGATACTAGTGAGGCATGTATTTCTGTACATGGGTACAAAAGTTCCTTTCTTCTACACCTCGGAGTCCGCATAAGCTCTAAATTTATCTGTTGGAAGGACCCTAGTGTTTGAGGTTGCAGTCCTCTCAGTGTGGGTGGCCATTTTGAGTTCATTGTTGAGGTGCAGGACTCCCTCTTCCCAGCAGGGCCTCCTGCCCTCTGCCCGACTCCATCTGAAGAGTGTCTCTAGACACAGATGTCCCTAACCACATTTGATAACCGCCTGTGACATGGCTACCTGCTGTCCCTCCCCTCCCTGGGCCTATAGGATAATTAGGTACTATGTTTCCATCCATATGATAGGAGCGTGCTGTTTAATGCAAATCAAGCACCCTTGAAGTGCCTAGCTCCAACCAATCATGTACACCTATTCTTGGAGCCCCCCACCCACTCCCCACTGGGAATATAGCCTTTGTCTTCTGGAATTAAAGTTGCACAAGCTCCATGAAGTGGTTCCTAGAGTGTTTGATTTCCGTACATGCTCACCAGCCTTTCCAGTCTTGCTCCTTGTCGAGTGCTCCTCCTAGAGGAGCTGGTGGGCTGGTGGGTGACAGCTCCCCAGGCAGGAGGAGAACTACACTTACCCAAGCCTGTTCTTACAATACATATTTCATGTGTGTTTAAGTAGTTCTCCAGCTCTCTGCTGTCCATGGCTACGATTCCAGTGCGTCTACTTCAAACTGCAGTGGTGTACCACACTGTTCGGTGTCCTCACTCCTCCACTCTACTGCAAGCTCATGAAAACAAAGTATCTAATTTAGGGTAAGCCTTAGGGTATGTAGAGGACCTGACCTCTACAGAGCATGTGTTCAAGAGGTGCGTGTTGACTGACTGACTAAAGGAATAAATAAATAAAGTGTTTTCATTATTCATAATTGAACATTGAGATCTGGGGAACAACGATTATCAATCACATAAGGCATTTTCTTCCGTTACAGACTTTGTAAATTGATAAGCATCATTTCTTCATGTTTACTTCACTGACAGATCTGTTGAATTATTTAGAATATTTTTTAAAAAAATTTAAATTTCTTTGAAAATCGATCTAATGTTTTAATTAGTTAATTAATTTTGCATGCATGTGTGGACATGCTATAGTGCACATGAGGGCAACTCTCAAACAGAGTCAGTTCTTTCCTGCCACCTTATGGAATCTTGGACTCAAACTCATGCCATCCAGCCTTTGTGCAATGTCTCTGCCCACTAAGCCACCTCACTGGCCCGTGCTGAAAGATTTTTCAATGATTAAATTGCACAAGAAGACGCTACATATCACTGTTTCTTCTCTTCCCATACCATTCTTTTTCATATATGAAAAACAAACGTAAAATATATTTCTACGCACAGGGTAGAAACAATAGTTCATGGTAGACAAAATTAGATTATCACTAAAATTGAAACTATTGCAAAGGACTAATATAAAAAGCAGAGTGAAAAAAGAAGAAAACTTTTCTGATGATGTTTTAATTAACTAATTAAAACATTAGATCGATTTTCAAAGAAATTTAAATTTTTTAAAAAAATATTCTAAATAATTCAACAGATCTGTTAGTGAAGTAAACATGAAGAAATGATGCTTATCAATTTACAAAGTCTGTAACGGAAGAAAATGCCTTATGTGATTGATAATCGTTGTTCCCCAGATCTCAATGTTCAATTACAAATAATAAAAACACTTTATTTATTTATTTATTCCTTTAGTCAGTCAGTCAACACGCACCTCTTGAACACATGCGTTTCTGATGATTAACTAAAGATCAAGAAAATTGATGTAATTGTAGGAAACAAAATGGATGCATGGGTTTGGTCCTACCTTGGAAGACATTATTGCACAGGCTTAGAATGCACACACACACACACACACACACACATTCATATGTATAGGCAAATTAATTTCTCCATTAAATGTCATGCTTCTGCTGCATATAGATACCAAGGAACTAGAGTTTTATGAATTTTGCTCAGTACAACTTCGATTTGAAGGCCTGCCAGTGACAGGTTACAGGGGCCTGGTGTAAGGGCCTGCAGTGCTCCCATGGGAATTCCTAAATTCCCACACCCTCTGAGTTTTGAAAGTCACCATAGCAACAGCTGTGTACATCATCACTCCAAAGCAGATAGGCCACAGCTGTAAGGTCTGCTGGGGATCCAATCACACCCTGTCTGGCTAAAAATTAAGTCACAGTCTCACTCCAAGTTTCCTGAGAATCTCTGAGGCTTTGAGCTCATCCCAGGAGAAATAATTAAGGCCACACTGACTCGGGTAGCATATGGGATGGCACTATGTCATTAGCCGTTTATAGTTCTGGAGTGACGGTCATTTCAGAAAGCAGCTGACCGAAAGGTCTCAGGTG